TCTTGGCTTTAGCAAGGCCAGGGGTAAACTCTGACTGGGTCGGATACATCGACTGGATAAAACTACCGCAGGGCAGCTGTGTAGGTGGCTCGGTTCCCGTAAGTAAAGGGGAGCGGTCCTGGCTCGATGGCAGCGGGCAGTGCAGTGCTCCGGGGCGGGGGCCAGGCCTGGGCCAGGGGCCGTTCAAGATGCCTGCTCATGCTCGGGCCTCCGGACAAGTCTGCACAGACACGAGCCGAGACCCGGGGCAGACCCCAAGTGTACAACGCAGGCTGGGCGACGGCTGCGCTGCTGAGCAGGCCGCAGGGTTTGGGCCCACGGCCACTCCACGAGTCAGCAAGGCGATGCCTTTTTTCAAACGAGAAAGCAAATGCAATTTGGGGCTGCAGCAAGAGGCACATAAGATGTACGATGGGTCAGCAAGGTTTTTGGGCTGAGTCCCACAAAGCCTCCAGCAACCTGGACTTGGAAGGCGCTGGCGTCCCAGACGTGGACCATGGGGGAGCCCTGAGGGGCCCGTTGCTGGCTGTGGCAGTGCAGCCCTGGCCTCTTCCCTGCCGGACTCCCCGATGCGCATGTGCAGCTGCTGCCGGGGATGAGCCAGGCAGGCTCCGGACCCTGGTGCAGCCGCTCGCACCTCGCAGCTGCCTGCTGTGAGCAGCCTGGGCTCTGGGCAGGCCCCTGCCACCTGCCACGCAGCCGGGCTGCAGCACCGGGCACACATCTGGGTGCTACATTTGAGGATGGCGGTGGTGCCCTCGAGACCGGATCCAGGAGCAGCAGGGTTGCATGACAAACGTGAGCCCAAAGAGGTGAGGGCAAGTAAACTGGGCATGTTCTGCTTGGAGACCATGAGAGAAATCGGAGGTGAGGCCTATTGCTGGAAGCAACAGCAGTTCCTCATTGCTGCAGGGCTTGGCCCATGGGCACCTTGTCCAGTGCCCAAGTGGCACAGGTCAGCACCGGTGCAGGGCTGTGCCCGGCCATGCAGGTGTGCCGTGGTTGCAGCCATGTGGCCTCTGGGGCCTGCTAAGCTTCACCCTCATGCAGCTCCTTGGCCCACAGCCGCGCACAAAGGGACAGTGCGCCCATGGCTCTGCTTCCCCTGGGCCACGTGCACCAGAGCCTGGGGCTGGGCGAGACAGGAGGGCAGTGCCAGCGTGGCCTCTAGTCATCAGGGCACCCTGCTCCGTGCCATGGGGGCCCGGGCCCTTCCCCAAGACACCACCCCAGCCCACCTTGCAGGAGCACACACAGCGCTGGCCTGGTTCTACTTGTGCCTCTTTATTCAGAGCTGTTGTACAGTTATAAAACAGTGCCTCGCGGGGCTCACGGTGGCCAGAGACATGGGGGTGCTCAGACCCCCCCCGGGCAGCTCTTGTGGAAGCCTGTGACCAGGCTGGGTGGCTCGGCCACGGGCACGGCTCTTGGCCGGCTCCTGTCTGCCCAGGCCGGGCGGGGTGGGAGGATCACATGTGCAGGGCCAGGGCTATGCGGGAGCACGTGCGCCTGGCAGGGGCAGCCGGGAGCCTGTCCCAGGCCCCGTGGGCTTGCCTCAGCCGATGCATGGGTGGGCACTCCCCGCGGCTTTTCCAGGGCTGCGCCCTGGCTTGGAGCAGGTGCTTGTGGGGCTTTGGGCGCTGCAGCTGGGGTTAGGGGTGTTAGGGGCCGCACTCTGGGAACAGCCCACACTAGGGTTTGGGGCTGCTCCAGCCAGGCCGCCTCAGGGCTCCGCAGGGCACAGACAGCCGTTGGCTGGGGAATGCGCTCCCCCTCACTGTCCCTGTCCCCGTGGGTCCAGGCAATGCCTGGCAAGCCCTGCTGTGCAGCTTGGCATGGATGCACATCCTGGGGGCGAGGGCATGCGAAAGCTGCCCCCTTCCCTGCCCGCAGTAACAGAAAGGGGCAGAGCGCAGCCCTGCAACCCTCAGGGCTGCCCTGAGCTCAGGCCTGCGCGGTGCCCTGGAGCCACCCCATCCCCACAACCTGCCAGTGCCGCATTAGGGTGGCAAAGAACAGCCTTGGGGTTTGGCCAACACTGCCCACCTGCCGTCCCCAGACCAAGCCTGAGTGTCCCCATAAGCCACCCCAGGGAGCCCCGGGCTCCCTGCTGCACTACATCGCACGGCGCTGTGCACCGCCGCCCCGGGGCTCGGCCATGAACTGGGGCTGCTGGCGACTATGTACAAATATACAGCGTGTGGGCTCAGCTGGTGCCCGTGCCGGGGGGGAATGCATGTGTGGTGGGGGGTGGGAGGGATGTGGCTGTGTGTGTACACATGTGCAAGGGCCGTGTGCTGTGAGTGAGGCTGGCACTGGCGCTGGGTGGAGACCCCGGGAGGGGTGCGCCCATGTGCTATGTTGGCTCTAACCTGGCCAGCGGGCAGGAATGGCTCGGCGCATCTTCCTGTGTCCCAGGGGAGCCGTGGGAAGGGGGTTACCGGTGGGTATGATGCTGGGCAGGGTCAGCACATCAGCACTGACTGGGGCAGCAATGGGCAGGGTGAGGGGTGCAGCGATGGCACAGCGGGGTCTGGGGCGGGGGTCGGGGTCACAGTGTCAGTGCTGCACAGGTGCATGCAGGGGGCCTGGGGGCTGGCGGGGTCACAGTGTAGGTGCTGCACAGGGCTGGGAGCTGTGAGGGCTGCAGACAGGGTGACCAGGCCCAGGGGCCACTGAGGCGCAGGACGGGCTGTGGCAGCTGAGCCGCAGCGGGGCCCAGTGCGGGCCCACAGGTGCTGGCCTCGCAGGAGCCACGGGGTTGCCACGCAGGGGCTCTTCCCAGGGTCAGGCTGCATCTCTCCCTGCCGAGTTCGAGGTGAACTCCTCTGTGGCAGTGGGGCGCTGCCTGGGGGGCAATGCCCATCCAGCCTGGGGCTGCAGGGCAGGAGGCACCCCCAAAAGGCCAACCCGCCACTCATGCAACAAATCTACTGCCTCCCCCGTCTGCATGGCTCCCCCAGCCTGCAGCCAGCCGCTCTGCCCCGGGCCCTGGTCTCAGTGCCAGGCTGGCCCCTCGCTCTGCCCCACTGCAATGGTCTGTCCGTCTGCGCCGCACTGTGTGCTTGGAGATGGGGCCAGCCCTGGCTGCCGGTGCAGGGCTGGGTGGGAGGAGTCCCCGGGCAGGGCCCCGGCGGCGTCTCTGGGCAGCGCAGGAGGCTGGTGGGGTCAGGGCCGCGCTGGCCTGGAGGGGAGCGGGGCAGCCCCGTGCTCACGGAGCCGGGCGCGGGTTTGGGCGGTGTGGCCCGGCCTAGCAGGCAAAGTCCTCGAAGACGCCCTGGTGGGAGTAGTGGTGGCGGTGGTGGTGGTTGGGCAGGATCCCGGTGGTGTAGGCGCCTTCCACGTGCCGGCCCAGCGTCTCGCAGGGGCTCT